AATTTTGTTCAGTGCAGTGAAACAGAATTTAGGTATATGTAGCTAGTTGGGTGTCCTGAAATTAGTCCTATCTTACACATTGTAGCTAGTTGATTTGTTAGTTTGTTTGTTTTATACTCTCCAGTGTAATGTATCATTCAATGCTAGTTTCACTTCCTTTTTGAAAATCACAAACCTGTTTTGTTAAATGTTTGTGCATTAATTGGATCTATTTTTAACTTCTTAAACAGCCTTCTATGATGATCTTTTTAAGTAAAATCTTGTGACAAAGGTTTTTTTAGTGTGGGTTGATTGCATTCATATTTATTAATTTTGTGACAATATCGTGATGTTTTTGATTATTTTTGTGGTTTGATGTTGCTTACATTTGATTCAAATGTCTGAAGTAAGCTATCAGATTGTTCAGAAAAGAACAAGAACAGCCCTACAAATTACCCAGAATTCAACAATTACCCAGAATTCAATTGTACTAATTGATTTCGCTTGTTAATGGCATATTATTTTGGATTTTAACAAGTTCCCAAATAATCAGAGAATATGTCATTGATAACTTAACCTGTGCATGCTGTTCTGAATTCACAGTTAAGAAGGCAAGCAAGACTGCGGAGGGAATACCTGTATAGAAAATCTCTTGAAGACCAAGAGAGACAGACACTTGAGAGAAAGAGAAAGATTAAAGATGCATTAGATGGTATGTTTTTGTGCATATTAAATAACGCATCACCTGTGGATAGCATTTTTTCTCATTCATTTTGAACATCCATGTTAAATTCATTGAATTGAATTTTATGTTTTATCATTGACAACTTCATTTTCTTCTCATTACTCCTTACAGCTGATAAACCAATTCCAACTGAGTTGAGAGGAGAAGCACTTCATTTACAGAAATCATTGGAATATGATGATGAAGGTGGAGAAGGAGGTGAGAATTTAATTTATTTTGCCTTGGTAATATGTCGATGTTGAAGGATAGTGGTTGAATCACCCCAACACATAATTTGCCCTTTCCACATTCTCTGATCAATTTATCTTCCAATAATTTACTTGATATGATCACACATTTTTTATTTTTTATTTAAAATATTACTTGATGCTGTGCTATGTGTTACATTTTTGTGCGATAATTACTTTCATGTCGTTGTCATAGTTACATCTCATGTGGATGATGAGTACAGATGGGCTGGAGTGGAAGATCCCAAAATTATGGTAACAACATCCCGAGAACCTAGTTCGAAACTTAAACGTTTTGCAAAGGTAACAGAATTCATGTTTTGTATTATGACAGTGTTGTTCTGAGAGGAGAATACCATTTCTTATTCAGGCCATTTTTTGTCACACATTCATCTATGAATGAATTTTAGAATAAATTTGTATTTTTATGGCATTCATTTGTCCTTATTCTAGGAAATGAAGCTGACGTTTCCTACCGCACAGAGAATGAATCGTGGTCACTACGAGGTATCTCACATAGTCCAAGCATGTAGAGCCAATGATGTCACAGATCTCATTGTATTACATGAACATAGAGGGGAACCTGGTAAGTGCCGAGTCATTGCTGTGAGTTAGGACAATCTTATAGCAAGTCAGTCCAAGATATGATGACGTACTTAGGCAAAAATATGACATGACACAGAAATCCACAATCGGCCTACTACCACTGTGCACCCAAAGATCACAACATCTTACCATCTTACCTCAATTTTTGACATGTTAATATGTCTATTTTTAAACTTCACAGAATACTAATAATAATATTTGTTTCCTATAAATTATAGTTAATTTGTTGCCCACAAAGTCAGATACGATGACATACATGACACAGAAATCCACAAATGGTCTACTACCACTCTGCATCCAAAAATCACAACATTCTGCTGTTTGGGGGGTATCATGTTAATTTGGCTATTTTTAAACTTCATAGAATACTGCTGTTTTTTGTTTTTTTTGTCCTCTAAAATTATACTTGATTTGTTACCCAGAAAGTACGAAAATATAGCCTATAGATTTTTTTTGTATCTTTTAAATTCCTGCTCACATAATTATCTGTTCATATATTTATACAAAGAATGTGTTTTCTTTCGACAGATGGGATGATAATATGTCATTTACCGTACGGACCTACAGCGTATTTTACACTATCCAACACAGTAATGCGTCACGATATACCCGATATCGGCACAATGTCAGAAGCGTATCCACATCTTATATTCCATAATTTTAATTCTAAGCTAGGTGAAAGGGTATGTAGATAACCACTGGCATTATTGCACTGCGACTAGTGAAATTTTGTTTTGAAGAATGCTGTAACAGACCCACGTCTCTGATATGCCATGTCACGCATGCAACGAATATACATTACAGATTCAAGATTATTTTAACGCTCAACTTAAAATGCATCAAAATCAAGCATTTCTGTCATTTTGGCATAGGACAAGAGCATTATGTTTGCAACACTGATTCGGTGATGGAGAAAACAACCATTCAAAATGACAACGTATTTTGAAAAAAATACCAGCAAGTTTTGTTTTTGTTTTTTTTGCTTTGTATTCACCTTAACAAAAACAAAAAATGCATACATATAAACAGACAAAGGCTTTTCATTTTTTTCTCTTGAAAACCAATCTCTCTCTCTGACAGTTTGCATACATTTGATATAACCAGTATTTTATTCTTTCTATGCAGGTACAAAATATACTGAAGTACTTGTTTCCAGTACCAAAAGATGAGAGTAAACGAGTGATTACATTTGCCAATCAAGAAGATTACATCTCTTTCAGGTACTGTATGATTCTATGTAATTTACTGATATAGGAATTGATGAAGGATCTCCTAGAAATTTACTTGGATTGTACCAAGATACAGTCTTAATTCACATTCAGTTTGTTTTTTGTTTCACACAAATTTTCTTGACATCCTTCCCACTTGCGTGTGACCAAATATTAAAGGAGACTATGTCATGTGACAGTCACATGTTAATAATTTTAGTTTTATCCAATGTCTATAGAGGGACAGTGGCTTCATTAACCAATATAGTATGAATGGGTTTTGTGGTGTCAAGTATCCAGAAAACATTTTCAGGGTTTACACCAATTTTTATAACAATGAGTAGCATAAGGGACGACGTCAAAAGATCGATGT